TGGCGCATCCACACCTTCTCTGGGCAACCTGTTCCAGTGTCTCACCACCGTCATTGTAAAGAATTTCTTCCTTATGTCCTATCTAAATCTACCCTCTTTCAGTTTAAAACCATTACCCCTCGTCCTGTCACTACAGGCCCTGGTAAAAAGTCTCTCTCCGTCTTTCTTATAAGCCTCCTTTATATTGAAAGGCTGCAATAAGGTCTCCCTGGAGTCTTCTCTTCTCCAGGCTGAAGAACCCCAACTCACTCGGGCTTTCTTCATAGAAGAGGTGTCCTAGCCCTCTAACCATTTTTGTGGCCCTCCTCTGGACCTGCTCCAAGAGGTCCATGTCTGTCTTGGGCTGGGGACCTCTGAACTGGATGCAGTACTCCAGATAGAGTCTCACCAGAACAGAGTAGAGGGGCTTGAGTAGAGGCCCTTGACCTGCTGGCCATGCTTCTTTTTGTGTAGTCCAGGGTACGATTGGCTTTCTGGGCTGCAAGCGCACATTGCTGGCTCACATCTAATTTTTCATCCACGTATCTGATTTTTCATCCCTCCCTTTCCTCATGCCTGCTGTTCTCTTCTCCCCTACCATACTCTTTTTCCTCTTCCTCCACTGGCTATTTTTCGAGAACATCTTCAGCACCCCTAACATCACCTACCAGTAAAACACACACACACAGAATGAAAAAACCAGAACCACGTTAAAGGTTAAAAATGCTTGTGAACAGGGAACAAGCATGGTAGCTTTAAACCAGACAATGTGGGAAATTGAGGGAAAACAGAAATAATAATCCAAATTTAACAAGTAAAGCAAAAATCAGGGTGAACATAAAGAATATCTTAAGAATAGATGTAATATCCATTTAACACCTACAAGCATTAAGCACAAAACAAAAGCTATCAAGCCAGATTAAATATAGAAAATTAAAGCAGCGGGAAGCTAGAAGGTCGAAATGAAGATGGGGTCCATCACTCTTAATTTTAGGTATCTGACTCCCTCTTTAAGCAACTCATCCCTTTCCGAGACAGATGTCTCGGGCAAGTGGGATGAATTACTTTCTTGAGCTGCCTGTCTCTGCACTGACTACAGAAGATGCTTAGCAAACAGCTTTGATGTCCGTGTTTAAACAGCTTAGATTAGATGAGACGAAGCCCATCAAACACACTGGAAGGCAGAAAGAGTACAATGGACATCAGCCAAACACATGAGGTTAGTGAGGGACGTGGTGGTTTGTCACTTTGACCCTTCTGTCAATCCTTCTGACCTTGGTTGCAATCTACTACCCCATCGCCTTTTCTGTTCGCCTGTAATATTTGTTTAGTAGACCACTGCTCTCCTGCCACATTCATGAGGTTAGTGAGGGACGTGGTGGTTTGTCACTTTGACCCTTCTGTCAATCCTTCTGACCTTGGTTGCAATCTACTACCCCATCGCCTTTTCTGTTCGCCTATTTGTTTAGTAGACCACTGCTCTCCTACCACATTCATAAAGCACAAGGCACGTTTGGACACTCCCGCAATGTAAACGGTAAGTACTTAGCAAGAAAAATCGGTACACAATACGTTAAATAACTTGCCTGACACTGCATGTCTGTAGAGAGCTAATGGTGGCAAGTTTACCTTCGTGGTATCACTATTTCAAACTGAGGCAAAATCTAATTGGAATCATTTCCAGGATGTGCAGTGGCATGAGACTTGCAAAAGCAAAACAGGAGCCCTTTCATTTCTGACTTCACATAATGCAACAGAGTGGCAGACTTCGTGCCTTTTTTTCTTTCCTTTTTATTTGCATAAAGCAAAGCATTTCCACCCAGACAGCTTCTACAGATTGTTACTGTTTCGACAGGGGACTATCACTAGGAAAAGACATATTCCTAAAAATAAAAACACTATTTTAATGCTAATATGCCTGGCAACAAAACAAACTGAAAGGAAAGAGATGCAGAAGGTAAGGTTCCCTTGGTCCGCTTTCTTCAAACCTCCTAGTAACCCCATACAGATTAGACTGGGGGCATCAGAGCAGTACCAGAAGAGATATTCCCAGTTTCCTTTGGTGTGAGAACTGGACTCAAAGTATACAAAGACTATGCATGTGTAATTGTTAAATATTATTCTGCCTTAGTATCTGGTATTTGGTGTTGTACAAAAAAAGGACCTGATTCTGTGCTATCACATGTGTTTAACTTTATCACAATGAGCTTTTAGTGGGATCAAACACGGCGATAAAGTGAAGCAGTGTGCGGATAAGACTGCAGGACTGGGCCGCAGTGAAGACTAATAGATAATTCACATACATACCAGTTATACCCTAAAACACCACATCAAAATATCACCAACTGAGATCACATCTTCTGCCAATTAGTAAATGCCGGTAAGCACTGGTTAACATCATGATATAATTTTGAAAGCTGTGGCAAATGCGCCTATCAGCATTGTAATGTGCCACATATGCAAAAAAATAGCAAGACAAGTAAAACATTCAAGAGAAGGCCTCTTTGGTCCTTTGACGCAGTGGCAAAAACTGCTCCAAAGAACAATGAAAATATTCACCTCTAAACTGGACAGCACGTAAGCACTCATGTAATTTTTAAGCATTTGGCCTGCACTCCTTTGAATCAAGGTCTTACCATTTCTGTCAGCAGCTTGGAGTAGAAAGTCAGCACGACCTTAGAGCCGTTTCTTCATCCCACAAGTCTAATTAGGAAGTGTCATGATGTTAGCTAGCATGTTAGCTAGCCTGACTGTTACTTTAATTAGCTATAGCATGGAAAGTGAAAGCATGAGAACAAAAAAAGCATGGATAAATTACAGCTTAGTTAGGACGGCCTGAAAAGCAAGCAGCTTTGTGAGGCTGGGCAAAAAAGAAATGGATGCACACACAACCCTTGAAAATTCAACAATGGTGCTTTATCTACAGCATTTAGGCTTGGTTAAATAGAGCTGTACAGCCTTAAGTGTTCTTTGGTAATTCTTGATTTAAAAAAAGTTTCTTGTGAAAACAATGTGCAAGTACTGTGTAGTATTTACTTTAGTTATTTGATCCTGACCTTTCTAGCTTTTTCATTATTAGGCAGGGCTGACAACTGAAGGACTTGTAAATATTTACCTCTGGAAAGAAAGTTCTAAGAGCAAAGTGTTTGTAGTCAAGGAAGGGAACAGTTCCAAAACTATCCACCACGTCTAATTCATCCATCTGCAGTTCAGCAAATCCTGAAAAAGCACCCCCCATCCCCACCCAGAGTTAGTTTAGTTGACACAAAATCATCTTCACAATTATAACTTGGCCCCAATAGATGTTTCTTAAAAAACAGTTTTCAGGGAAGAGGGGTTGTTTTTCTAGCTGAAGCTCCTATGAGCAGGAAAGTACCAATCCTTTTTTTCCCCCCGCTTTTGTTGAAAGAAATATTACATGCAATCCTATTAGCTCAGTGCTATCTGCTACTGCAGTGCACACCAACATTAAAGAGGAACTCTGATGCAACACAAAAATATTCTAACGGCTATAAAGTTAAAATGTTTATATAATGTGAGCTTCTTCACAGTTTCAGTTCAGAAATTATGCTGTACTTAAGCTCTATAAAGCTCTTTAGACCTACCCTCACGTATTTCCTTCCGAATCTCGTATTCCAGCAGTTCAAGTTGCTGACTCTGTTTACGAGTTAACTCTTTGGATTTGTATCTAGTAACTATGAATGCCGCTAAAAAGAAACAAAAAAAGATTCTGAGTACAGAAATTGCAGAACAGACAATGCCTATACAAGACATATTTTAATATTATTTTAAGAAACAGAAAGATTAATATACACTTGCACTCTCTGGAAGGATTACTGTTTCTATTGTTGTCAGTGTGCTAGTATCCATAAGCCCTAGTTATCTGGATCTAAACCCCAATGTTTAATAAAAACCATTCCTTTTAACAAGGTCTTAGAATTGTCAATCCAACTTTATTTGAAAGTACAGCACACCCTGCTACGTAGAACCTGCACAGTGAGACACAGAATCTAACAACCACTTCTACTACTAGCAACCTACTTAAAGTAGCACTGATTAAACAGGAAAAAGTTGTTTTGAACAGGAAATCCACTTCCAAATTGTTAACTTCTCTAAAGCTTATTTTGAGACAGTAAAGGCATGAGATATGGTTCCTGTAAAGGTAATGCACTTTTTAAAAAGAAACCCAACCAAACAAAAGAACAAACCCCTAAACTTATTACAATAAATGGAAATTTATCAAATATATAACCAGGTCAAAACAGGAGGGGATAACTATTTACCTCCCTCAATTTAGTAATGACCTACAAATTCGTGAATGATCCAAATGAGACTGAGCAGAAACACCACAAACAGCGCCTGAGGATAAGCAGTTTGTTAGGGAAGGTCTGCCCCAGGGACAGAAGGGGAGCCCAGCTCTGACAGCCGGAAAGGCCCAAGCTGTGACACAAAGATGTCAGTCCTACAGCTTGCCTCACTAAACGGTGGTGAGAAATCCCAGCAGACCAGCCAAAACTAATGTCTTGTAACATGGTGTAGTCTGACATGACGGACTTCACCACCAGACCAAAGTTAACTTTGTCCACTCTTATTGGGAACAGGGGAAAACCACCAGACTGTTTGTGACAGTCCCAAACATGTATGTGTGTATGTATATGTGTTTATGTGTCATGATTATACCCTCCAGCAAATCAAAAACTGAAAACACATTATTGTACTTACCTATAATGACACCCACTACAATAGGTAGCAAAATAAGAACATATAAATATATGTGTGATGATGTTGGTTTGACTTCATGTTCAAAATTTCCTAATTTGACCTGAAGAAAAATAATGGCTGTGTTAATAGAGGACAGGTATTATACCAGTGCTTAAAATGACATTTAATGTATTTAAAAAAAAATGTATTTGAGCCACATGAAGGACCCTGGTTATGCAGATTATTGGGAAGACAGAAGCAATTCGGGAAAACTATGTGAACCAACACAAACTTAACTTTTACTGTATTTCCTGTTTAAGCAGGATAACAGAGCAGTGACAAGAGAAAAATTTGCAGGTCCTCATGCAGCACCAAAGTTTGCCATTGCTCTCGCTGCAAACTAGAGCCCTCAAATGAATGGCAAGATCTGGCCTCCAGCTGGCCAAGTGGCTCACGCACTTCAGAATCACTGCTAAACGTTCTGGCATTGTGAAGCGAGGAAGGCACATGTTAATAGTTAAAAACATTCCTTTGCACTCACAGTGTTACTGTGCTGAGCAGAAAGGTAAGATAAGACTCATGGGAAGTAAAAATTTTGATAGACACCTGGCCCACAGCCATCTTCCCTATTTCTTCGCGGAAGCTTCAACCTCTTTATGTAGGATGTAGGGTGTTCCTGAAGGTCCGCTTAAGAACAAATACAACATACAATACATGTACAACATCCCCAGACAGTCACTGGGCTTGTCAAAGGCAGGACAGGCATTAATTCTCAGGAATACACAAAAGTGCTGAAGTCTGCCAGATGCCAAACTGAGGCATTCACCACCGATAATTATGGCAGAAGAAATTTCACAAAGGAGGATCTCAAAGAGGACTGTGAAAGCACATAAATAAAGGGTAGCTAAGACTATAAACAGACTAGAAGTAAAAATACGGTTTGACACAGAAAAAGAATTCCACCAAGTGCCAGGGATAGAAATGAGCCTGAGATAATTGAAAAGGAGAGTTGGGTTGAAATTATTTTGGGTTACAGCAGGGAAGGCAGAGATCTGGTGATTTCAATCACTGACTTGTCACAGGAGGTGAGCAGCCAGGGCAGCTGGACACTGCCAACTGGATCGTCACATCGCAGCTAAACGGACATGAGCAAGCAAAGAAACCCCACAGGGCTGAAAGGACACAGCCTTTGTATTTCTGGGGCTACAAAGAACAGAAGACAAAGCAGACCTAGTTCCTCCATCAAATGTATTTTTTTCCTCGGTTGTTTCTGTGTTTTCACAGTTCCTATACAAAGTACTTTCGGTCTGAGCCTTCCTAGGATCCCATGTGCCTTTTCTAAGGCTGAAACGCATTGGTGGCTAAATACATTAATCATCCCGTGACTAATACACCTGACTTTCTCCACTTGTCATGTCCAACCAAAGCATTCCTAAAGCAGAAATTCCTGTTACTCATCCCTGCTTATTGAAAACTGAGGCGAAGCATTCATTTAATTTTCCATTCATACTTAGATTATCTTTAATCTTCACCATAACCTTCCTACCCAGTGGCCCCATTTCTTTCCTTATCTTTTATTTATCTTGCTTATGACTAAATAAGGTACACCTGAATTAATCCGATTCCTATTCCTAAATTTATTTCATTCTTCCTCCATGACATCCTCTGGACTGGTAACGCCTCTGAGCTTTATGTCATCAGCAAATGTTATTAGTACATGCCTTATTTTTGTGCTCAATTCACTAGTGATATTAAATAATATCTGTATGAAAATCAACATTGCCCAAAGTCAGCTCCCCATACACAGCACCCAGTTTTTCTAATCCCTAGCATCTTCATTATCACCATGTTAAGTAGTTTACTGAATGACTTCCAGGTACATTTGATCTACCGCTTTTTTGTTTTTGAGGAAATCGCTCATCTTACCAAATAAAGATATCTAGCATAATCTGCTTTTATTAAAAAGAAGTTGACAATTATCCTGTTTTCCATTAACCTCCAGGTCTTTCATGAGTCCCTCATTCAAAATACATTATAAAGCTTTACATAGAGCTAGGATTAACTCAGCAAGCCTCTATTTGCCTAGTGGGGTTTTTTTTTCTTTTAAATACTGGTTTTATATTTGCTGCTCTCCAGTCATAGAGTACCTCTCCTGACTCTACAGTTTTACTTAAAATCTTTCCTACTAAGCCTACAATATCATGTGCCAGTTCTTTCTCAGTGCTGCGATGGGAATGATCCTGTTCCAGCTGTCTTGAGCCCCTCGATCTATCTGAATCTTACTTCTGTCACAAGAATGGCATTTTCTTCTTTGACACCTCCATTCAGACTGATCATCCTGTCTTTGACCCCACACTCAATAAGCTCTTTCTTCCTGAAAACTAAAGCAAGAGATACGTTTATTCTTGGACCATAGCTATCTTTTATATTCAGCTTATCCTTTCTTCAGAGTGGCCCTACTTCTTCTATGATGATTTTTTTGTAAGATTGAAAAAATACGTGATGCTTTCCTACTTTTACATTTTTCTTGATGTTGGAAAAAATAATTTTTAAGGTACCAGAAGTGAAATGTTACATTTATAACTATTGCATTTGATTTGCCTTAGCGAAGCGGTGACCTTTCTATGACAGTCACTCCTATGAAGCTTGCAGGATGAGCATGTGATATTGCAAGGCAACGTTAATATTTAAATGCAACACCAATCTCAGAAAGGTTTTTCCATGCCATAACTGGCTCAGACGGCAGGATCCACAGATGGGGGATCAGTTAACAGTGATATGAAATTGAGAATAGCTTCGTTAATCTTTACTATGAGCCATATGCCTTGAAGTCAATAGAGTTATTTCAGTTTTATATCACCATGCACTGCAATAAGAGTCTGGCACCATTTTTCTCCCTCGTAAATGGTGATGATTGCTTTTTAAAAAATTCATATCTTCATCTTATTCATGGAGCAAATATCTTAAGCTGCCATTTAGCTTTGACATCCATGCTAATATTCTTATATTTGGGATTGGCTTTGTGCCATATGTTCATAGCATTTTGGCCTCCCCGGCGCACGCTGAATTTTACCCCCTTTTTCATCCAGAAATGCCTTCTCTTCTGTCTTAGTGGTGATCACTGTTCAAGATCCTTACCTACTTTAGTGGGAAAAAGTGAATGGGAGGACACAACCCTTTTCGTCATGGCCACACCGCAGCAGCAGATTGCTTACAGATCTAAGATGAGGAGCTCTACTGGAGCCAGTGATGCTTTGTCGGTGATGTCTGTGCTGCAGCCAGAGGTCTGACAAGCTACCGCTCTCCTGGAGCTCAGCAGCAGTGAGCTCAGCTTGGACTGCAAAGCCTACCTCTGACACTACAGCAGTAACCAGCCAGTGAATGAACTCAGTACTGTTAGTGGTACCTAAGCTGGGCAGGCGTGCTTAGATGTGAGGAAGATAACCGGACTACCAAGAACCAGGAGAACAAACAATGCATCCAGTTCCTCCCTCTATAAAGAGTATTCATGACCACAGCATTAATGCTACATTTTACTACATTTGCATAAATATCCAAATATTGTTAAACTGCAACAAAAGGGAATTCTACTTACAAAAACTTTGACTGTGGAAAAGTCAATCTTGTCTGTTCCTTCCCTTTTGAATTTGCACAGTATGGTGCTACGGTCTGGTTTTTTGGTAATATTTTGGACGCTGAACCATATCTTTTTGGTCTGTGCACCGTTCATATATGACAGATAAACCTCTACCTCAGTTTTAGAAATATTCAAGTTGTCATTTTCTTTCTAGAGGGAAAAAATTGAAGATAATAAACAGTCACTAAATACAGTAAGAAGTAAAACGATCCCCAACGACGATTTTAAATAAGGAATTATACTTTATTACTTTCAAACTTACATATATTTTCAATTCCAGATCAGGATCCAGCTCAGTGTGCAGCTGGTAGTTAATGAACACTGGGTCAGGGTGATAGTGTAATTTGACACACGGTATAAAGGTAGTTTCCACTTTTAACATCATATCAACAACTTTACCCTCTGTTGCATGGCTCAGGCTTGGTGTTAAGTAATGATATTCAGATTCATTTCCAGGACACCTAGAGACCTAGAAATGCAATAGCAAAGCTGTAACAGTCATTAAGCACTCAACAGTGGGTACAACTACAGAGGCACTCGAAATCATTTTAACATCTTCCTGACTTCACACAGATATCTGCTAAACCTCTTCTCTGCGATCAGGGCTGCACGCAGAGCACCTGAGAAAGTTTCTGTGTTGAGCTTGTGTCTACCTTTAAACACATTTATCACACACTCTGCACGCTGCTTTAAGGCCGATCGCACACTGCTAAGGCAGCTATTTCCTGCAGTGAGACAGGAATAGCGACAGTGATTTCTCCTTCCTTCCCCTCAATGCAGGTGACAAGAGAAGAGCAGGACTAGCTCTCCAGCACCCCTGGGCATTGGCTCTCCCCAGCTTAACTCCTGATAGAGGGGAGTTGCTACAGTCACCCCACTGGTTGTGCCATGGGGTGGTGCTGCTGTTTTCTAGTCTGTGCTGCAAGCCCAGGAGGAAACAGGGTGCCCAACTCACACCCTCGGAGGAAGGGTTTCGTCCCAAAATCAGCTCCAGTCTCCCACCCCTTGCTGAGGCAGTGGCACCATTTGGGTTCTCAACACAAAGCCAGAGAGAAGTACACCACCCCCTCCTCCCACAGACCCATATATGGAGGCTGGGAGGCTCAGAAAGGATGAATTTGGAGCAAGACGCTAGAGCATAGAAAAAAGGCTCAGGGAATTATGCAGGAGAGTAGCTTATGTGTAGCCATGATCCCGTACTGAGAATGTGTGCAACTGTAATCCTACAAGTGGTCATATTTATTTCAGTAGGGTGACTGATGTGTGCCTCCTCCCACAGACCCATATATGGAGGCTGGGAGGCTCAGAAAGGATGAATTTGGAGCAAGACGCTAGAGCATAGAAAAAAGGCTCAGGGAATTATGCAGGAGAGTAGCTTATGTGTAGCCATGATCCCGTACTGAGAATGTGTGCAACTGTAATCCTACAAGTGGTCATATTTATTTCAGTAGGGTGACTGATGTGTGCCTGCAAAGTGTTTGAAAAATATTGAGATC